TATTAGTACAAGCTAAAAAGATCAATAACCCAACAACAACAAAAAATAAATGAGGAAGTGAATAATAAAATCTTTTAGTGTTAGAAAATGGCATTTTCATTGACTGGTTGACTAACTGACTACCGCTGTTTATCACCACAAGTAGAGACTTACAGAGATTTGGATTGGAATTTTTCGAACCTAGTTTTAAATACATTCATAAATGTATAGGTGTAAAAATGTAGATAAACAAAAACAGAACAAACTAAAAAGAAGCATTAAAATAACTGGTTATATTTTCTTAAGAGAATGAAATACATTCAATCCTGACGTGCATAGTACAATATATTTGATAAGTTCAGTTAGATTGACCGGTTGTTTGGTCAAAAATTGAAGATACAAAGAGTATAGTATTGAATCCTCCAAGCTAGATGGTTACATTATGGGGGTAGGGGCTAAATATATTGCCTAGAATGACAATGAAAGCTCCACAATTCTCAACTATTTAGCTTGGAGAAGTCAACATAAGCAAAATAATTCAATTGATCAACAAATCTTCTCTATAACACAAATATACACTTATCAATTGTTTAAAGATCCCCATCATATTAAAAGACTAATATTTGAATAAAGAATATTCTTTTCGGATTCTACGATTTATATATCCAAATTAACAATCCAAAAAATGGCCAGTTTAAGGGCAAAGTGCATCGTTTAAAGTTAAAGCATGTAAATTTATGATTATCAAGCAAAATAGAATAAAATTATTACTGATGATATGACTCATATGGAATCAGATTACATGGCCAAGATTGTATGGATAACTAAAGGTACACAAATCGGGGGTCCCACTAAGACCACGTTTAGATATGGATAACTCTCTTTATCATACTATAGCTAAATGGCTGGTAACTTTTATTGAAATTTCTCGATGAAAAACTTATAAAACATAATATTAAGGATGTATTCCGATTTGTTCACAAGGTCAAAAATGCAAATACTTTGGGACTAAAGATGATGTCTTTGGATGTAACATCATTATTCACAAATCATTATATGTGAAATAATCTCAGCGATTGAAATCTAAATAATTCAGACGTTTCGTCCAGCTAATTTATCTGGACGAAATGCACCATAAAGGTAAATTTCAAGTTAAACGGAGAAATCTATAGGTTGTAATGAGTTCACCATTAGGCCCTATACTAGCTGACATTTTTCTAGCCAAACTAGAAAATGGTCCACTCGAAAAGATTATTCAAAAATTCACATTTTACTGTCGATATGTGGATGATACGTTCATCCTCTGTAAAGATGATACATCACAGAAAGAGGTTCTTAGGCAGTTTAATGAAGTACATCCAGCTATTAAGTTTACATCTGAAGAAGAGAGTGATGGTAGAATAGCCTTTTTGGACGTTCCCTTAACTAAGATGGCGAATGGATCATTAAAAAGGAATTTAAGTAGAAAAAAATACCTGGAAATGACAGTACACACACTTCCCTAGCTTTGTACAAAAGAAACCTGATCAAAACTCTTAGTTACCGAATACGCACTATATGTTCTACGGATATAGGTGAAGAAGAGCTAATTACCTTGAGTAGTACTATTAGGGAGAACGAATACCGTAAAAATTTACACTTAAATATATGATCACAAAGTTGAGAATAGGCGAAATATAAACGGTGAATAAAAATCCCTGTTCATGAGCTTACAATTTAGAGATGTGATTAGCGAGATATTAACTCGGAGATTACGCAGAACAACCCAAAAATCTTTCAACGCCGGGAACTACGATTAGTGTTTTCTACACACCCAGTGGTGACACAGAGGTTAAAAGTTGAATTACCTGGAATGACCACCTCATTTTATATTTATCAGTTCAACTGCTCCTGTGGAGCAAATTATATTGGTTGAAGTTTTAGGAATTTGCATTTTCGTGCCCGTGAACACCCAATGTGGCTAAGCAAAGGTCTGATGAAGAAAGTGAACAGCTCGATATTGGTCCATCTAGTAGAAACTGGTCATAGTGCCAGTATAAACCAATCAACATTAACAATTTTATTCTATTTTGTTTGACAATCCTAAATTCACATGCTTTAACTTAAACGATGCACCATGCCCTTAACCTGGCCGTTTTTCGGATTATTGGTTTGAATATATGAATGGCAGGACCTGAAGAGAATTCATCGGAAGAAATATTCTTTGTTTAAGTATTGGACTTATTGATTCATTTATTAATTATAGATTTATGTTCTTGGCTTCGAACCACACTTTTAATGTGAGGCCTAGTGATATTATCCAGTTGGCCGAATCAAAGTAGGTGGAGTAGGCAGTCCGAATATGCAAAATAGTGTCTGAAGGTCGAATGTCATAACTACTGGGTCACCGCTTCACAATATACAAAAAAATTGGATTTGATAATATCAGTCAGTTAGTCATTATAAAAAAAAGATTTGGGACAAGAGTGTAGAACACTTCCAATTGTCATACCTAACATCAATACAAACACACACACACAGAGAGAGGGAATTGACTAGTTGAGAAGCAAAGTATAGCAATAAACTTCAACTACAATGAAAATCGAAACACGAGAAATACATTTTCGAAGTAAAAGTACGACCGACGATTGGAATATTAGCAATGATACTGAACTCGAAATTTTGAAGTAAAATAGAGAATGAATGCAACCATAACACTATGGACTACATTTATCACACAAAATTCAACGCATCAAGTCATTACTGATTACGAGAAGTGCATAAGCCCAAATCAAAAAGTGTGTATCCTAGAACTGGTTCAAGAGAAGAGTCAACAACTTCATATGTGGATAAGATGTCTTGATATGATCGTCTATAAATATTTTCCAGCCTACTTATGTTACAAGGACTTAGTGGTTACACTCCAAAACATCTATTGACGTAATACGACTACTCTTACAGACAACTGGCAAGAAGCAATAAAAATCTACACAGTGATTTTTTATTCACTGAAGATAACGACCATGGTCAGATGAAGACTGAAAACGAAATGTAATGAAGTGGAGTTTAATTAATCCAACAAATTTCCAAAGGATAATGAAATCTCACTATAAGTAACATTTAGATCCTGTTAGAGAAAGACAATCAATTCAGAACATTTTGAAGATGTGTTTATAGTAGTTAAAATGATGATGTAAGAATGATTAAGAACGAAGAGTTGGTTTGGAATGATAAAAATAAAATAAAATATTACAACAGATGAATGTATTCAATATTCATGAATGTATGTAGAAGTTTGAATCAAAATTAAATTTTCTGTCGAATGTTGACGCTTGAAAGAACAGTAGCTAAAGAAACTGATGATTGATAATATGTTTGACTGGATAATGTGATGTGTAGTCGGATAATTGAATGTACTTATCGTCTTCAGTGCATTTCATCAGTTAATGATATAATGCAAAGTCTGAGTAACAAATACAAACACAATCAATATTTTCATTGCTTATGTAGAGTACATATTAGTAAGGTTAATTGGGAGAAAAAAATCAGTGGAAAAAAACACGACAGTCTAGCAGTACTACCGCCGACAACTAAAGCTGAGGATAAACAATACTATAAATGAACTTAGTGTATGTGGAATTCACATACACACACACATCAACACATACGCACAAACGAGACTACCTTGATTAAAATCAGCTTTTATATAATGAATAAGGCGAATATGTAAATCAGAATAAACGAAATAAACAGTTATACAATTCAATGGAAAGGAGCAAAATCGACAGATTTCAAACACCTTTTTACTGAACACGGTAGTATTATTGACTAGGAGGGGACATAATTGATAAGCTACTCTACTACAATCAGCGGTAAATTGATACGGAAAAACGATTGTTTCAAACAAGCAATGCACATAGTTAAAAACCTGTTAGTAGGGTGTATATTAGATTTTTACAAAGTAGTAGCCAAATGACAATAAAGTAACAAGATTAACATCAAACTAAACCAAAGGCAAATACATAAAACTTTTTCAGTAGGCCATCCATGATTCAATAAAACAGATATCAATATGTTTTTTATAGAGTTATATAGACAATAAGGTAGTATTTTATTATTTGGATGTCTGCCCCCAAATGCCCTGATACGGCTGAGAGTGGGGAGAGTCAACTCTCACACTTCAAATGCTCTCACATGGTCACGTGCATACAACCACTACCAGGGAAGTCCTACTCACTACCTTCTCACACCACGAGTGTTGTTTACGAAATTAAGAAGACGCAAACCGAATGTCTGGAACTTTAACGGGGTTGGGGACAGGGGGGAGTCCACATAGGGGAAGTTGGAAAGCCATCATTCCAAACCAATGGTACACATGGGCTCCAATATTCTGAAGGAACAAATGGCGTATGAACCTATTGTTGGTCACCAGCTACCATGGGGACTGCGTCACCTGACGTTGCTCCACCGCTTTTTGGATCAGATTTTTAGGTCGAAGGCTTTGGGTGTGGCTCCTTCACCAAACCACCTATTTCAGTTCGGGCACCCGGGCAGTATCACAACCCACACACAAATCAAGCTCATCGTCTGGCGCATATCTATTTGATACCTCCTTGTACCAATGTTTATGTGTTTAAAAAAATAAATTTGGATGTCTATACCTAATATCTGTTATATCTTAAACATTGAGGAAACTGATATCCCCAAACAACAAACACAACGCTTATCAATTACTCATTATAGAGACAGATACATCAAATTACAACTTATAGTTCTGAAAAAAAAATAATTCGAGTCAAATAACACGATTCAATGATTAAAGTCAAATTGAATGAAATTCAAGCGTGATTAACCTTAATAATCGAAAATTGAATTCCTAAATAAAATATTACTAGAAATCAGTCATTGGACAGTAAAGAAACTTAGTGTAAACAAAGTATGAATGATGATGTAATCACTGAGATGTTATTAAAAGGAATACAACGAATTTAATAAATAATAAAGAATAAACATTAAATAACAATATGCATTCAATATTATACCTCGGTAAGATGTATTTGATAAAGATTGTGGAAGTACATTGTCTAATGGATGTAATGCTTTTAAAGGACCTGAGCTTGTACATGATGTTGAATTGTTAAACATTAGACCTCCTCCACTAATCGATGAATATGAATCTACATTGGCAGCAGCAGCGGCCAATCGAGCTTTATGCATTTTAAGTCGACGTGTTGTTGGCATAGTGGAATATTGTTTATCAACATCTAAATAAATATTATTATAACAAAAAATTAGAAAATGGAGAACAAAAATTATCAAAAGTATTATTTTGAGCAGTATGCAACAAAAAAATTTTTTTGGAAAAACAAATTATTTGTAAAGTACATGTTGAGGATACTGGATTCCCAGAAATCTCTTGGTAAACCTTTTATTTTTGTAATTTTATTTTGGAAGTTTGAATTTCCCGTTTTTGCGCCAAAAGCGTACATTTTTACCTTCAGATTGTAATACCTACTCGGAAAGATCCTAAATGTCATTGATTCGTTGCCTTATAAATACACTATTTTGTGACGTCTCCCAATGACTTTTTATACTGTATATATATGCTTGAGTTGTGTGTTTGGTTTGTTCGTGGTCCTGGCTGCCTGTGGAATATACCTTTCCCTCATTTGAACCTGGTCTGAAGCTGGGACCCATTGAAATACTTTAGTTTGTCTTGCCGTTCGGTTCAGCGATTTGGGTATTCTCGTAATCTCTTCAAAGATAGTATATGACTAGCAACGGAGTCTAGAACACGGTGCTTTTTTCTAATTAAGACTCCACAGTTAGCAGACGGACAGGTATCATCAACATAGCCTGGCACAAATATCATTAGTTCACGTTACCATACTTGATCAGCACAAAGATATAAAAACAACAAAAGGGATTGAAATAATGTAATATCAATGATACAAAGGAACACTAAACATTTGGAATATAGTTCGAATAATAGAGTGGAAAAGTATATCTGAAGGGATACTAGGATTCCGGATCGACTCAATTGTCATGTGGACGCCAATAAGATTATATGCATCTACCAACATGGCTCAGATCAATTAGTAAATGACTTCACAAACTGATGTCATGTTTTATTTTGGCCTCCTTTACTTCTATTTAAACCTACTTCCACACTTGCAAGGATCTCTTGTAGAGGTAGGAGGTAGTTAAGTATATGTAATAAATGTCTCGACCATATCCATCATAATCGAACAGATTTATGAATTCATAAAAAGTCTATACAACCGATCTTTTTACCTTGGAAATCAGCATTAACAACACTGAAGCGAGTTACAAATAATATGTTATCCTCTCCTTTCTGCTTTATCGACAAAATTCTCACATATTTAGTTGATCTTTTGATCACACATAATTATCAGACTACACTCGTTTCGTTATTACGTGACCATTATTAACATTTTATTGAAAATATTCTCAATGCACGTACTAGATATGATGGAATCTGATAATTTTTTATAACAAAATGGTTTAAAGAATTTGGTATTGATTTAATTACTTTATTATTCATTCATCATTATTTTCATGAACACCTCTAAGCTTGTAGTGGTATTATCTAACGGTTAGTCTCTTATTGACATATGTGATTCCTGTGCGTATTGACTCGATATTACCTTAATTCATAAGCATTATAAGCAAAGATGGATAGTGGCTAGCAGTGAAATTTAGACGCGGATTTCGTTTTATTTGCGACTCGTCGGCTGGATGTACATGCATCTTCTCAATATTGATGTTCACTTCGAGACTTGAACCCGGGACCGTTCGCTTCAAATACCATTGCGTTATCCACTTAGTTACTGGGTCCTGAGAGCCACTTGCTTATGCGATGGGGTGAAGTTTAAACTCACTTGGTACAACCAGCTGACGAGTCCCAAATAGGGCGAAATACGCGTCTTGGATTCTACCGCTAGCCATTATCCATCCTTGCCTATGTTACCATTTAGTTATTTTTATGAGTAGAGATGAGTAGGTTGTACGATAATTTGACACAAATAGTCCCCCCCCCCCCATGAATTGAATTCAGTATGATCTGTTGTGATCTGTAGAGTCAACTAAATCTCGAGTGAGATAATGGTTCACCGATAAAAGTCGATAAAGATTAAGTTATGTCAATAGGAATTGAAGCCGTGGTCCCCAACCGGGTGATCTAAATGTTCATAATAAGTTCTCATTGTTCTGAGTCCGACTATAAGTAGAATATGTGAAGTGTATTACTGAAGAATCCTGGAATAAAGCGAAGCATTTGCCGAATGTTGATTAGTGTTAAAAGTTGTATCTCTGAAGTTAGTCAGTTCAAGTTGAAAACAATCTTCAAATGAATTTAATTTGTTAAGTCATTTTTTAAAATTTATACTAATTAGTGAAATATTAAGCAAACTAAAATTACCTTCTGGCATTTTATAACGATTGGAAGAATATTTGTTTGAAAAAACGAATACTGTGAAGCATCCACATGACCATGACGTTTTTCCGAAACACTACGACGTCCAAATCCATCACGTAAAAATTTCTATTAGATGGTACTGATAAATTTCTTGATGTAGGATAGTTTACTTTTAACAACGATTCTGTTGATAACACATGATTATCCTCATGAATATCTGATCTTTGACTAGATAAATGTGAATGAGAATCCCCATGATAATCATGATGCAATATATTGATCCAATTTCAGAAGATATCGAGTCAGATCTATATAACAGACGTCGACGACTATCATTTAATGTAAACGATAATGAACAAGTATCTTGTGAATCAGCTGGGCTATTCAATTTACTATGTTCATGACGACCAGGATGACCCTTTTCTACTGCTTCACCACGTATTGTTTTAATGTGTCTACAACTAAGATAAGAAGAGATCTGATAGTTTTGTTTATAGAATGTTGTGGTCATTAGTGTCTTGTCGGAAATACCCTAATAAATTCCATGTGAAGGTTATAGGCAAAATAAATGAACTATACAAGAGTTTTAATTTTCATTATGATCGTAATAAATATAGAGCAAAATTAGTTTACATTAATATTGATATTACTGTCAATCTATTGATGATGTGATTTGAAGTGTAGCAGTTCATGTTGATATACATCTCTGTACCAAGTCCTATGCAGTTCATAACTAACTACAACAATGAATGTATTTATCATCAAATCTTGATGAATCTATGTTCAATGGAATATAAAAACGACCTGTTAAGTCAATTCAATTTAAAAAACATTCCACACATAGATCATCCAGCCCAGTGCTATAAATGTGAATATATATTTGCTATCTAAAGCGTATACATTATAAAACTTATCTCAATATAAATCTCCATCAGCGAGAGAGTTGATGAGACTAGGACCAAAAATTAATTACACTCTAATACTTTAGAGCTCTCACCACACAAATAAGTTAATAATAGATTGAAATTAGATGTTTAAATTGTTTGTTCTGGCTAGCGTTTTTTTAGCAAGGCTTTTTTCTACGAGATAGGGTTGCTGACCCCATGCCCAATCCTCTTCTTTTACCCAGGCTTGGGATCGGCAGTAACCCTAAAAGAGCTACAGGACAAAGTTCGATGGCGAGTCTTGATGGATGGCCTACGCTCCTCCACGAGGGATAACGGGCGTAAGTAATTAACAATGAAATTATAGAGAAAATTTATAGCACGAGTTGTGTTGTATTCTCTTAGCTGAATGGTTTGATCAAAAAGCTTTCATTTTTATTTTGGACAATACCAGTAGAGCTTACCTCCCATATAAAAAAGAGGAGAGACTTTTAGTCATTCCACAAGTGTTAAGTTACTCTGTTCTGACGAACTAGTCTATGAACGATTGTCCTCCATGTTTTAATCAGTTTCACCTATCATTTTGTTCCAGTTGAATGTGTTCGCATGACTAAAATCTAATGATGCGAATTGGTGTTGGTTTTTTTCGCATAGATTGATTAATCAAATGTATATTGACCTGTTTAATAGTTGACCTGAATATCATCATACCAGAATATTCTCGGACTATAATTTTCACGTTTTCCTACTTACATTGAATACGTGGTTGTCTACGTGCAGTGAAAGGATACCATGCCATTTTTACTGCTATTTTTTGTTGGTTTATGTGTATAGAGACACTGGATGTTCAAGATGATGTTTATACTAGTAGGTAAAATGTATTTTGTAAATAATATTCCATTTTTAACTTCGATGTTTTGTTTTTCAGTCTACATAAAATGGAATAAAATGATCGGTTGACTTATGAGGGATGTTGATTCCGAACCACTTTAAAATCGTTGTGCTAATATCTGGGATGAATATCATATATGTGTGAAAACACCGATCATGGGAAAAGAGACCGGAATGTTATGTTATCCTAGTTTAAGAGTCCTTTTCAACCAGAGAGTGGCAGGTCGAAACTAAAAACCTTTAGGTATCACGATGTGCACTTAACCTTTAAACAATTAAATTAGCACCCAAATGGTTAACATTTCTAATTTCAATCAATACGAGATTTGTTTAGTGGTTTACGAAGATAATCTTTTGTTGATGCATCAACCTACTGGGCACTGTGATAAAGTTGCGAGTGTAACTATGTTTACTGAGAATGGGCAGACAACTAAATAGTTCATTTTTACGTGGAATAAGCACTGAAAAATAATGAAAGCTTCGTAGTATAATAACATATTTTGTAGACAGTTTATTCATTGTACTTGATAGCAATAATCTTCAACCGTTAGACTTGTATTTCAGTGAAGGCAATATGAGATGGAATAATTTCAGTGAAAAAATGTAATTCGTGAACTAAGTATCTACAGAGTTTTGATTCATATATGAAGATTGTTGACACTATGCCTCTTTACGATACATAGTAGAATCCAGGTGAGAGGTTCAAACATCCAATCTGACGATTTAAAACTGAGTGTTTGAATCACTAAACCACCATTGATCATGAGAACCATTTACATTCACTAATCGACAACAAAACAAGTAACAGTAACACAAAATTAATAGCCTAAATAATGATTTAAAGAATGGGTTTGGATGTATTAGAGGTCAGTTATTAGACCATCAAGTCAGACTGAACATCATCACAACAGTAAATCTCTATTCTATAAATCACGATACTTTATTGCTTGCATTGCATAAAATATTGCGTCATTGGGTATTAACCTCAAAGCAAAATGGGTGGTAATATTCAGTCACTTAATAAAACTTGATCCATAGGTTACGATGAACGATAAAAACGTATCCTACTGATCGTATCTAAACCAAAGTCTCAATGTGACGAGTAAATCAAATATTTTGACAAAACTACAAAGTTTGTTTACACTCACAAACACATAGAAATCATTTTACCTTGGTGGATGTGCAGATGTTAGTTTCAATGTATCGCCAACACTTGATCGACGATCATTTTGGTTCTTATATCGATGAACCGTGAGAGTGAATGAGGCTGACGATTGTTCGGAGTTACTAATATTTCGCTCATGACATTGTTTGATAACATTTTTCAACTTATTTACAATAGTCTAGAGTAAAACAAATACCCCAAAATAAGTAAACGAATGAATCCAAGGTAGTATTATAAAAATAAGTATTGAAGAATAGATATGTAGTTTATCATCACAAATTAAACAATAATACTAGAAAGTTGTAGCTCAGGGGGAGTTTTTTTCAAAATTCGAACACTATATTTTCACCTAAAGTTTAAGCTAACGATGTTGTTCAGAAGAACAATAAAAGCTTCACGACCAAACTATCCAGCTCAGAGAACAAAACCCCACCTAAACAATAATGAGTTTTCGTCGACAAATAGTGAAAAAAAAACATTAGTAAGAGTTTTGTAAAGCACTAAACATCTAAGATCAGTAGCTCAATGGATAGTCTTTTAGGAATTTAAAACAAAAAGTACTAGGTTTGAATCACTATGTGAACATCAACATGAGATATAGTGACATTCAGCCGACGAATCCTAAATTGGAGAAATACATGTCCTTGATCCCACTATTAACTACATACCATTTATATGAAAATATCAAAAATTAGGTAAGTAGTAACTTTGCAATAACGAATAATTCATATAATCACATATAAAGCTGATATTTAAAAAGAAGGAATGGTAGGTTACACCATAAATTAACATTTTGAAGTAAATACTTCCTTTTCATTAGATAATAGATATAATAGCAATCAATTGAATAGAATAACATATGTTTATTTTAGTTCTTCAGGTTCTCATCAGCAATCTAAAACCTGAAGTATTTATGTATTATCTTGAAAACAAGTAGCAAGAATAAGAATTTGACAACATAACAGAGTACACTGAATTATACATTTATGTTGTGAACAGTAGGTAATCCGACTGTTAGGATTTTCAACACGAGGTCGTATCATTACATCCAGTTTACTTAATGGAATACGAAAAGATCTACAAGTTCCATGTGCTTAACATTACCATATAGCATTCGATTTATTTAAAGAGTACATGAACTTTAATAAATAAGGCATTTGTTTAAATATTGTTCTATAGAGTATAACGGGTATGTATGTAAAATCGAAAAACTGAAAGAAGGATTATTAGGATGAAGTTGTGAAGATTGTTGAGATCATGAATCGATCAATGTTAGACCACCATTGAAAACTTGGAAGCACTGGATGGTCTTTTCGTCCTAATATGGGACTCCTCAGAAGTGCGTTGATTGATTGAAGTAAGAAATTTATAACGTTGGAGCCAGCTCACTAGTCTAAAGGTTAAGCGTTCGAGCATGAAACCTGACGTCCTGGGTTCTAAGCCCGTGTGCGAAATCGAAGGCGTACACTGTTCACGACTCCCACACTAATACGAAACGGCCGTCCAGTGCTTCCAGGTTCTCAATGGTGGTCTAACATTGATCAATTTATGGTTTCAACAAAGAAAGATTCATGAATGTTGAAAAGTGACTAAAAAACAAATGCTATCCAAAAAAAACCATTAAAAAATAAAACACAACAAGTCGAATGTGGCTGCAGTCAACAAAAAATCAACCTTCATCCATCTCAATTTAAAAAAATAATAATGTTGCAGTGATCGCCAGTAGAATTTTGAACGATTCAGTAACAAGAACCTTTTCTGGAACTTAACTATTAACCCTGTATCAAACAACGTATTCAATAAGTGAATAGTCGATAAGTGTCTTTTTTATGTTACCGTCAAATTGGTTTATAAATTTACATGTATTTACAACGGCAGTTACATTGATCGAACGGGAAATGAGGTAATCATTTGAATTCTTTAAACATGTTTCACAAAGCAACCAACCAAAATGAAAAAAGCCTTTTGATGAATGGTTCAATCTTCAAAGATCACTTGAACACAGAACACCAAGTTGATACCTTGAAAATCTTCCAGTATGATTAATAATCAACTGAACTGTAATATTTTCAAATTTACAATAGCCATTTCTATCACGTAACCCAAAATCTCATTTCTATGTTCAAAAAGGAACGGTTGATATTGTTTATCTTTGTCTTGATAATATGAAATTTATTTGATTACATAATAAGAATATTTTCAATGATTTCATTCGATGGATTACATAATTATGTCACTTTGTCAACTCTCTTCTACTTCAATGAATCTATCTTTACTTAACTAACTGATAATTACACATTTTATTCTTATCATAAGCACTAGTTTGTTACACGTAACCACTTACTTATAGCCTTTGGGAATTTTCTTGAATATAATTTTTTTCCATTTTTCTTCAATCTGAATAAGTCAAGAGTAAAATTATTGTTCTAGTTTTGACCGATTTCAACTGTTTAAATATTTTCGACCCATTTTGTAATTATGATCTTTTTTACATGTTGTTAAGTTTGAGAATTCTAAGTTTCATTCCTGATGCAATCCTGAATTCACATGGTTAAGGAGTTGTTATATACTAAGATGAAACAGCTGATCAACGAGTATCTTACTTACTTACTTACGCCTGTTACTCCCAATGGAGCATAGGTCGCCGACCAGCATTCTCCATCCATCCTGGTTAAACGTAATTCATGAAGTAAAGAATATACAAACCGACCAAACTCCTAAAATCCTGTAAGCTCATAATAAGGACTGAGTATAGATTATCTAACATCTACAGACTTCAAAATGATTTCTGAGTACATAAAAGATGATTTTTTTTCTTATCCAATTGCCTATATATAGCTTTTACAAGTTCGAATGTTCCTAATTCATGTACTTTGAACTCCTTAAACACTATTTATTATTTATTTATTTAAACACATAACCATAGCTACAAGAAGGCACAAAATATATATGCACCACATAAATCATTTGAATACTGCCCGGACACCCAAACCTAGGCAGATGGTTTTTTTATGGGACCACACCCGAAGCCTTCGACCTAAAGGTTGAGCAACGTCAGGAGATGCAGTCCCATGGTAGTCGGTGAACAACAATAGATTCGCACGCAATTTGTTCCTTCAAGATACTGGAGCCCATGTGTACCATTGGTTTGGAATGATGACTTCCCAACTCCCCTATGTGGACTCTCCGTGTCCAATAACCCGGTAAAGCGCCGGACATTCGGTTTTCGTGCTCTTAGTTTCGTAAGCAACACCCTGCCGCGAGAAGGCAGTGAGTAGGACTTCCTAATAAGCACTAACTTTCAGCAATTCAATAGTCTCCAGAAACAATGAACAAAGAAACAGGTCGGAAATATGCTAGAAACAACGAAAAACATACGAAAATCGGCAACCAATCTCCTAATTGTTTAATCAAAATAAGAAAGATATAATCAATCGTCTTACAAACTGTTTTCGAAAATTATCAAACATAGTACTGTTGACATTTTTCCTAGCTCCAAAGGAATTTTCTAAGAACTCCCAACAATTAGAAAGAAAAGAAAATAATCCTAGCTAGTGTTCGCTTTCAACAGATACACAACAGCATGCATGACTCAACATATATATATACTGATCAAAGGGAAGAGAATATGAGTTCGACTTCAATCTAATTATAGATTTCTGAAATCTTCTGAAATCCAAGAAGTTTTAATTTTTTGGATAAAATTAAGTCTAGCCTCTGTATACAAAAGGAATATATTCTATTCTCGTCTTCAGTCAGTCAGTCAGTAACAACGTAGAACTTCGTAAGTACGTACATCAGTCCGAGTTGCCATACCACATTAGCACAGAGATCCAGTTGTCGATTCAAATTCCGTATTGGTGGAGGTAGTAAGAGTATAAGCAGTGCGCGGAAACATTAGGGTTCGGAGATGTTATTCAAGCGAAATAAATTTCGAAAGAGAAAAAAGAGACAAGGAGGAATCAGGAGATCAAAATTTGGGAGAACACAAAGAGTGGATGCACCTGCGCCATTGCAAATGATTTTGAGCCATGTCATTCAGAGTCTCTAACTATCGGTTGCTATCATCTCGCGATCCCCAACCAGGTAGTCTACACCTACCAACATGACTCAGTCCACTTGTCAGTGACTTCATGGACTTGTGCCATGTTTGGTCTGGCCGCCCCTAGCTTTCTTCCAACCTACTCCTATACCACTGAACATCGCACTTCAAGGCAGTCGGTCGTTGGGCATACGTAACACGTGTCCCAGCCATCTCAACTGATCGAGTTTCACTACTTCATCAATGGATTTGCCATCCTTACCTAGTACCCGTTTCCTAACAACTCCGTTACTTACTCCATGATCCCAGGATATACGAGCAATGTTTCGCTTTCTCGTCTTAATACTTTATAATTAATAACAGTTTCAGCATGATTGATGGAATAAATGCTTTATATTGTAATGAATCTATCATAGTTCCAAACACTTATCTGATATCTTCAGGTAAGGGAAGAAGTCAAATGTTAATATTTTTAAAGTCACCCATACATTATTACATGACATGTTCTATGAAATTCAAAGAAAATCAATTAATTGTAATTACAATTCGCCAATATGTGAATCAGAATAAATATTATCATTCATTTTAGCTTACTTTAGCATTCATTCCATCTACAGATTCCTCATTAATTGCAACAAGACGATCGCCAGTTTTTACAGTTACATGATTGTTTGAAGTAACAAGAGTATCAGGCAGAAGACTATCGACATATAAACCTGGTATAGGAGAATACTGAGATGGAGAAGCTGGTCTTGTAATTGACTTTGTAGTTACTGTCTGTGGTGATGATGTGGATGAAGATAATAATGATGATGTTAAAATATCATTGGACCATTTGAAATTGATTCCTAATACTGGAGGTCCTTTTATAGTATCTGATTGATTATTAGTAGTATCCAATGGAAGTTGATACTCAAAGGTACAAGTCATAAACGGCTAAATTTTAATAAAATGGAATGAATAAGAACAACCGATAATTATTTGAAGCTGACTCACCAAGTACAGTTATTTATGTGATTTGCTCTAAGTAACATATTTATTATGTAAGAGCTAATGTAATTCTACCCAGTTACCAAAACCAAACTAGGCAGAGCAAGATTTCTATCTGAGACTTATTGGTTGAAAGTCGAGATTTTTAACCAACTAAGTCATCAATGTACCACTGTAAGTTAGATAAATCCAACTATCAAAAATAAGATGCATAACTCAACAACTCAAGTCTAACCAATGATCAACGTCACATTCTAGATTTAGCATAAAAGTAGCCTGGTGATGCCTACATTAGAACATGACCTGATTCATGATCATATGTAGGTCCATGACTTTTCCAAATGGTTGATGAATTGGGTCGATTTTGATGTGTTTATTGATCGTTGATTTACCTAAATCCAAGTGCTTAGAAACACTTTGATCTTCTGTATATTTTCTCTATCCAAAATCTCAACATTTTCCCAGTTGAACATGTATCCACGTGCATTGATATAAATGTAGACATAATATGATGTTTGACAGCTAGTTAGTGTTCATATAAACGAAGATAAAAAAAGGTGCCTACTTATCTAATGTAGTGTTTCTCACAGTTGGAACAGTTCATTTTAAAGATGTTCATCATCAACATCAAAAAAATCCATGGTCAAACCATCCAACTCAGAGAACAAAACTTAACTGAAACCATACACCGCCTTAACTACAAATCTTCATCAACTCAAAGTTCCATATCTATCAAATTTGACAATGTCTATTACTGAATGATTGACTGTACAAAGTTCAGTACCAGGCAACAACATACAAACATTCCATTATTCATAAACAAAAGTTGATCCTAACAATTAAGATGAAAAGAAAAAGCAACTATAATTTGAAATCAATATCAATAAACGTGATAAAATTATCAGCTATCATATGAAATCCATAAAGACGAAATGATTATTCTCAAACTTCTTTGATAAATAATACATTAACATATAAATGAATACCCTTCTTCTGTTTTCTTTACACAATCACTTTCTTTTCTATTTCATTATCATTCTCTCAACATAATCAGTGAGTATACACACACACGTATGCACACGCACACATACATACAAACATATACACAGATCAGAGAGTATGTAGAACCAGATAAAAGGTTCAATTCAATGGTATCTATCAAAATTTGACAGTTTGATTAGGAATGTGTACAGAAGATTTTTTCTTCTTCTTAAAAATACCAGTGATAATTATCAATCAACTACAGTGATCATACTGATAAAAGAACAGAATTTCTCACATTAATTTTTATCACAAAAACTAACAAAAATAAATAAATAAACAAACAAACACGAGCAACCCTGAATAATAAGTAAACTAAATGAGTAAGGTATATTGTAGTCTCGTGTATGACGTTTACTAGTTCACAGTGGAAAAAAACAAACAGTGATCGGGTGAGATAGATAATGGCTAAAAGTGGAATCTAAAACGTGTGTTTCGTCCTATTTTTTGGGACTCGTCAAGCATCCACGAGTTGTTGTTCAACCCAGGACTCGAACCCAAATGTAAATAAAATGATTTTAATGTAACTGGATCATTGTGTGTAAGTGGGTGTTTTTAAGCAGTCAGTCAGGTTTCATTATTCCACGAAGATTATCAATACTATCACACTTGATCGATAGGATTTAATCAATTCTAAAGGACCAGACAAACAAAATATTAGTCACCAATCATTGATTAATCAATGTAAATATCTCAGTATTAAAGGAGGTTAGTTACACCCTGAATGACTCAGTAATAACATCTCATACTGTGAATGATGATGTGAGTGTTATAACTTGTGGCCTGTGTACCCTGTTAACGTATAACGTAACAATACCGCCAATTAGAGAACAGTAATTTATCAACGCATAAAACCTGTACGAGCAGTTCAGAGTCTTTATCGGTCCTTATTCCTAACTAGTCCTGCCTGCTTGTTGATTACAGAACACCAATCTCAGCCTTTGTGGTATGAATAATGTATTTCAAACATACTGGGTTTATATACCAACCAGACAGACTACATCGTACCATAAAATAGGAAACAACATTTGTACGAAATTTAGCCAAAAGTGGCTATGAACATGGGAGATAGTAATTGATAGACAGGGCATAACTCAAAAATGGTAAATCATATAATAATAGTTCACAGGTCAAAATAAAGCTCATAATAAAAGAGACACGAATATGAATAGTTTAGTTACTTGACAATTATACGATAAAAATATACGTATAGTATTGGTCCATAAATGGGTCCCAAAAGTTACCATTCCTTATTCTCATCGGGATATAACAGTGGGTTCGAATGCTACAGTTACTTTAAGATCCCAGATACCACTTGTTATTGAGTGACAACTAAAAATAGACCTAGATTAACAAAGGTATCCTAACAACTACGTCCGACCATTTAACATATAAACATAATGCACGTGATGTTCACTGATACTTCTAAAACAAGTAAGGTATGTGTTAATAAAATTGCAAAGAAAAACAAATATATCTGACCAAACAGGTCAGAGTATATAAAATCTTTCCACATACCACTTCAAGACTGAATTTATCGCAATATCCATCTAATCCATCTTGCAAACAACGAAACGAATTTCAGCAGAATGTAATCTTATTTTGACTATACAACATCGAAACCATCAACTACGTCTCTAAGTTTTGCTGAAGAACGTAGTCTGTTCATCACCGTAATAAATTCAGATGGCTTGGAATTACAATTCGGTATTTAGACAAAAATAAAACGTTACTTCACTTGGTATTGTTTGGCTTGTATCTTTCCATTGATGTTTAAGACTGTAATTGATCATTTACTGTTGTAAAGCATGTCGCTAAGTACATGAATGTTTGAAAAATTCAACCACTGCAATCCACATAACCTCATCAAGAAAAGTCACCAATAAACATAATAAAAAGTGACATTTAAAAAAAATACAATGAACTTACACGTGGAGGTAAGTGTTTTTGTGAAGATTTGCGAGTATTCGAGTCTAAATCACAAGACATTTGCCGAGATATAAGCAAATCCACTTGTTTCCCTGGTGTCAATGATCGTAACTGTGATAAAACTTGATTTAATGAACGAACTTCTTCACCGTCAATAGCCAATAGACGATCACCGGCCTGGGAATGAATAAATAAATTATAAAATATTTTCGGCTTAACATCTGTCGTATCGGATATTTTCATTGTAATGAGATGAAAATGAATAACTTAAAATATTAGTGAAGTTGTAACCAGAAGAGAATGAGATAAAAAATACAATCATGAGGTCAGTAATGTGCATCTTGTCGTGTACTGGTACTGCCAGTAGAACTTAAGACTTGTAAACTGACAAAACTTTAGACACTTTCAAAAGTGCTCTCTGATCAAATATAGATATCCATTCATTATTCTAGATAAACTGAGCTTAAAAACGGGCTTAAAATGTGATATTGCAAAGAGTGGAAACTTCTCACCACCACTAAAAGTGGCTTCATTCACTTGAGAAATAAAGTTCATGTCAGTAACTTATAGTAGTTCTTTCGAGGTGTTTTGTTATATTAGAAAATAATTGCATACTACCAGTCACTAGAGTATCCGTCTGTAACAACAGCACAAGTTATTGAATAACTAAGCGAAGACTAGTACAATAAGCTATGAGACAAAACACGTTCTTTTCCGATGGGGTGAAGTTTAAATTCACTTGGTGTTACAGACACATCCAGCTAACTAGTCCCAAATAGGACCAAACACGTGTCCTAGATTCTACTGCCTGTGATTTAAGGCAATATCGAGGCAATCCGCGCAGGATGTACATCTGTCAATATGAGACTGATCAATTGCAGTCCTAAACATCAATGCGAAAACTCAAGCAACCAATACAAGTTTGGTTTGGCAGAACTAATCTTATGTATCCATCAGTCCAGTACACTTAATTAAACATAAACCTCTAATTGAGTGAAGAGAAGCGGTTCGCTTAATTAATTCTGGTCTTGTAAGCAATCAATCAACACTCGGTCGTACATCATAATCAATCCAGATAATCAACGAACTAGAGAACTACTAATTGCGCGAATTTATTTTAACCTGATTGTCGATATTTAGAACTTCATCGATGAGGTATTTGTTCACAGATAGATTTCTTGGATAAGTGTTTGAGTAAATGAAAACTGGTAAATTCAGTTCTGAGTATTAACAATCGAAAAGAATAAACCATTTTATGTACAATAGTAAGTAACAGACACATTTTTAAAAATCTATTATTTATTTATTTATTAAACTCCCATCGATATCACATACAATTGGGCAACACACGAAATTTGTGTGAACTGGGATACTGCTCAAGTGATAAAACTAAAGCGGATCTTTTTATTGAGGCCCAACTCCGTGAACCTTTCATCATAAGATCTAGTCTACGAGATAGTGGAGTAACGCCAGGAGTTGTAGCCCCATGACGGTCAATGAGCAAAAATAGATTTATACTTCGTTTGTCCCCTAAGGATCTTATAACCCATGTACAAAACTGGTTTGAAATCAGGATTTTTCAACTCATCTAGAGTAGATCTTCTATAGTTACCAAACCAGTCTAACTCCCAGACGTTTTCTTATAATTTTGTCGGTTTGGTATAGAAAATGTCTTGCTGAGTGAAGACAGTGAGTAGGATTTTATCAGACAAGACTGTATAAACGATCATATGAAAGCATTTTGAAAGGGAAAATAGACTGTAGTCATTCTTGACAGTACCAGGGCGTTTGAAGGCTGAAGAAGCTGATTTCTAGACTAGAGCATATTAGTACGACGTTTAAAGAGGGCTGTTAACTAAGGTTTTAGTCGAGACATCAACACTCAGATACAGGTATATCCAGCTGAAGAACTGTGCATAAAATGAAAAACATTTCCTATCAAAAGTCTCTATCCAAAGTATACAATAAAATAAGTTAGATTCAATAGTTCAGTAAAACACTGACCAGTAAACGTCCATCTTGTATAGCAGCGCCATCAGGTAAAATCTTTTTCACATACACTGGATCAGACATTTGTGAACTTTGTGTTTGTGTATCACGACTAGTCAATGTGAAACCAAGACCGGTAGTTAACATCTTTGTCAACTGAATATGCATTGTTTGACCAATAGTTCGAGTATTGAATGCATTTGGATCTTTGCTTGACTACGAAAGATAGAAAAAAATGAAAAAACTTTATAATCAAAGACGATTTTACAAATAATTTATTATTACCTAATTAACTAAATGCGCAGGGTTGAAGTGTGCAAAATAATGTTTTTTTCCATAAGGGTAAGGACCCATGAATTCTTCCTCTTTAGTTATTGTTTACCGCCTAAGAGAATGAAGAGGCATATCAAAAGCGAAACAGTTATCACCAATCATATTGCATGACCGTTGCATTTTATCACAAACTGACTTGAAATTGCACCACTAGACATTGACCCAATCAATAAATGGCATTACGAGGTCGCTGATGATATTCATCTCACCTACAACAAACCTGAACCATAACACTTAATGTTTATCACTAGAATGTCGGAAATTAATTGAGGTAAGAGCTAGAAGATTGGATGTCAACCCAGTGGTTCTGATAGTTTAGGGCACACCGCGATACCTGTAAGTCGTGTGTGTGTGTATTTATAAAGTCTCATACAAGAAGGAAACAGCTGTTCATTGCTTCCTTGTATTTTAATGGCAGTTTCATTGAGGTTAATTTTTGGCAGGCTCAGTCAATGAAGACTCACAAGCACACTTGACCGACTCACCACATTTCTTTCATACCTTAAGATTAACCTCCACATTGCCAACATGAATATTTACTAGGCACGAGGAGCGCTTCAACGACATCTACAGTCAAAACCCTGAACCTTGTGAATATCCTCTTCTTCTATAGACAATGATTCACAACCATAGAGCAACACAGAATTGACTACTGTTCAGTTTATTCGTCTTATCATTGTCCAATGGATATCTTATTTATGTTACAAATGAAGTAATTTTTTGTAAAACTTAAGCGATCTCTCCCATCACTCAGTCGAAATCCAAACGTTCACATTTCTAACTATAGTTAATAGACGATATGACGTGGTCAGTGATTATAATCATCAATTATAGAATCTAACGTGTATAAAACAATGATCAGATTATAATTATTTAATAAATCTAGATATATTCAAGAGAAAAACACACATGATCAAAACCTTACTTACTACATCATCATAAATCTTATCATTGTGAATCACATTGATAAGATAAATGAAAAAAAGAAAAGATTGATTGACCGATCAGTCTGATTAACTTAGCAAATTACAGCAACACATGATGATGATCATTATCATGAAGAGCACTCATCGACTCACAAACACTCATGCATATATACAACATACATTCACACATACACAAACACACGATCTTACGATCCGTTTTTAATTTACATGCAACAATGAGATAATAATAATAATTTTCTTTTTATATGAAGTAATATTTATCTTAGATATTAAATCAATGTCAATTTCGAAACGATTATAATTAGTAATCTACATTATATATAGTGTTGTGTGCTATTGACATCGACGGATATAAGTAGTATGTATCACCAATCGAAATCGGAATGCCTGGAGGCAGAAAACTGAGGAAATCGTAGAGAACAGACCGAATACAGTGATTGGTATGGAAACGAAGAAACAACAAAGTCTGATACAATTGACGGATATTTCGCAAATGAAGTATTTTTTACTGTATAGTTTTCAGGTTTTACTAAGAAATTCTGTAATTTTGTATTCAAACACGTTTGGTTGTCCCCCATTCATGTGTTCTCGTTCACTACTATATATATGAAGTTAGTATTAAGCATTTGGATCCAATGAATCAATAAAGAACTCAATAATCTATCTTATGACGATATGTTGTGCTTACTAATGGTTAACTTTGAAAAGTTCTAGTGAGAAGCCATGACCAGTGTGCAGTTTGGATTCATGATCGAACATAAAGACAAAAATATCACACACGACAATAATGATTTAGTCTCATCTATAGGGTAAGATTGCCATAATAATGTAAGTCTATTGTAACTGACTTCAGTTTTCAAAAAAAACGTTAATAACTACGAAACATTAGAGAGTTATTCGTCTGGCGAGACTATAATTTTTATGGACGAACCAATCAGATATAAGATAGCAGATTTTGTATTTTTGCGTGAAACTCATTCATCTATTTGGCTAAATATCATTTTGGCATTTTAGCTTATATCAGTTGGTGATAAAAACTCTAAATGGAGTTTCTAACCCTAATCATCAACTGTAAATCATAATTCTACTTTTTCACACTGGTTTATAACCTTTATGTTAGTCCTAGTTAGTAGGTGAACATTCTCAGGGTCACTTTAGCGTCGCTCAAAGGTCATCCATAATCTCACATAACACCTATTTACAACTTCGAAAACTAGCATCAAACTACAAACAACACAACTCAATAGTATTCAATTACTATATTTTCTAGAGATTTTAAAAAAGTAATCTGTCCGTAATTCTCATGGACATACACATACACATATACAGATATACATATGTAAATGTAACAAGAGTATACCAAGGTTACAATGATTTGGAGAGAAGACAATATTGTGTTTCACTACATCATCACAATCACATGATGCATACATTTAATTATAACTATATGGTTACAAAATAGTGTTATGCATAACTGTTACTTTTGAAATAAACATGATGAAATATTTGACAAAATGTTTCAAGTTATGTTTTTGGCATGCTGTGATGAATACACACAAACACACATAAACATGTGTGCAATTAAGTGCTCCTCCAAACGATGTGATGTTAATGTATAGTGTACATTGAGAAAATTTAAAAAAGTATATTTGACATAGATACATTCAGTATGACGATAAACATGTTCAATTATCAATGCTGAACAGAGCTTGATATAAATTTGATTTCTTGTTAGTCGTTAAACTATAGCTAAATAATTAACAAAAATCAAAAGCCTCATTTCATTCCATTCTCAAGACTTTACAGCACCTAAATGTACACAACATACTGACAAGTTCTAAAGAAATAAGACGAAACGCTCGTCCTAGATTATACTCTATCTAAAAACATGATAACAAAATCAACAGCCTAATCTCTCAAGTAGGAGACATAATTAGAGATACAGCAGCAATTACTAAGAAGAGGTGACCAACAACCTCCCCTGAGAGAATCATTATGTTTATATGTGTGTCATGAAGTACTGGGGAGATAGCCACCGCGCCAATAATATGCATGTAATGTGTAAGCCAGTCTACTGTAGCAAATTTATTTCAAAGGGGGCGGTGAATATCTACCCTCCCAAGTGGGTGAATATATTTATATTCACGCAATGGGATGCAAGGGATAAAACCAGTGTGTTACCGGTATACGTATTCACAGGGTAGGTATAAATGTATATATGCCAAGGGATACATGGATGAGAGACTGTGTATCATCTAGTATGCAAGTAGATTGTAACTATCCAGGGTAAAACCTCAAATAATCCTTTACTTACTCTTCTTGGTGAGACACCCACTCCAAGACCCGTCGGGTTGTGGTTCCCCATAAAACCACATCATGCGGTGGGTTTGTGAGCTTTGAAAACACGGAATCCATTACAGAAGGGCCACTAGGCTTCACTACAAAAGGCTTGGAACACCGTACGACTACCACCGATTTTAGGATATAACAACAAATATCTCCTTACCATCCATACAAATTATAATTATTCAAAACATACTTGGTATTGTTTTACTTGAATCTTCCTATCAGGACTCAGTAGCTAAGTGGATAACGCGATGGCGTTTGAAGCGAATGGTACTGAGTTCAAGTCCCAGAGTGAACATCAACTCTGAGATGCAGGTACATCCAGCTGACGAGTCCAAACAGGACGGAACGCGCGTCCTGGATTCCACTGCTAGCCACTATCCATCTTTGCTTGTATTCAAAACATATTTTTAAAATGTTTTTTTTCACAGTCAATTCCAACGGTATTCAATTATTCAAGTTTTCTAACAGTTCAGACGCTACAACTACGTTTTCCATTCTTATATCTAAGGTATTTGAATTTCTATAAATTGTTGTTCTTTCTTTTCAATGGATGGATAGAAAGAAAACAATTAAATATCGAAATAATTTGCAACTGTTTTACATCTTGTGAGTGCATATAGCCAACATTCATAATTATGCAGTTTAAAAAAAGCTAAAATAGATAAATTAATTGAGATGTTTGCACAACTAGAAAATAGGAGGTTCAAACGTCTGAGATGGTAGCTGAGTATACCTAAACTCCATCGATTACAGTTTCCTACCAGGAATTTGAGAACTTATCTTGAGCTATTTATATGATACCAAATTGATCAAGAATGAAAATGGATTTTAACGAAAAAAACGAGAAGTCCTTCACTTCTATTGTCGTATGGATCCAGCATAAATCTGTATCAACTCAATACCTCATAATGTACATCAAAACAACACAAGAAATTGAGTGAGAAGTGAAATAGTAAAACTGATAGAAATGTCAATGATCGGCGAAAAGACCACACATCAATCATGCAGTTTAAGATTAATGTACCATAGAAATATGACATCAGCAACCGATTTTAAGCCATATAGTTCAAAGATCTTAACTAAAGAATATTTGGTGCTCAAAACAATTTTTGTCCGAAAGCAAAGTCAACATTAACGTTCCAACAGTTCTATTGTACAGTGGTGAAACTCCAAGTACCCAAACCACCATCAGAAAACTACAGATATTAATAAACGGCTGTCAACACAAGATACTCCAGATCAATTAGAGATCATTAGGTATTACCTACTGTAAAAGAGAACCAACCGGCTTCCAGATGATGAGAAAATTAAGAAAAAACACTGAAAGAGGATAAGACAAGCAGTACAGAATTCATGTAACTTCACCACAAGGTAAAACCCAACTTAGAATCATTAAGGCTAGGGAAAAAGAGGGAGGTCAAAGAACATGAGGTGCCGAGGATCGACAGTGAATATCAAAAAGATGAAAATTACCCAACATATAGAAAGAAGAACCCAGGACAGAGTTGACTGAAGATTCCTGGTTGGCGACCTATTACTCATGAACGCTAACAGGATCAGTTCAGTAATTAGCTAAAAGATCTATAA